TGTGATCTCCAAGTAAGCACGGGTAGAAAAAAGACTGGAAGGAAGTGCTCCAGAATAACAGTCGCTGTTGGTGGGTTTATTGTCACTTCTTATTTCTATCTCTGCATTACTGTGCNTAATTAATATAATATGGCACAGTTTTAGTTATAAAAAACTGTATGAATCAATTTATACAGGTAATTTATACACATAAAATTTAAATAAATGCTAAATATTATTTTATTAATTCTTCTTCCATGAACATATTCCCATATTACTAAGAATCTATTCTGATAATGTATCTGGCAAATAGCACACCACAAATGATTATAGAATGCACAGTAATTTACTTAAACATCAGCTTATAAAAAGATTTGCAAGTTATTTAGCTGAAAATATTTCATTGTTTTAAATTCTATTCTGAAATTATTTTCATGGTGTTTTTCTCTTTTTTTTTTTTTTTTGCTCAGCGCTTTACAGAATTTCAAAACTCCTTCATATTCAAAACTCTATTGCATCTTTCTCTGTTATTAGGAAGGCAGAACTGTTGTTGCTTTGGTTGCGCCAGGTCTTAGCTGTGGCATGCAGGGTCTTTAGTCACAGCATGGGGAATCCTAGCTCCCCAGCCAGGGACCGCACCGGAGCCCCCTGCATGGGAAGCTCGGAGTCAGCCGCTGGACCACCAGGGGAAGTCCCGAGGCAGAGTTTTACTCTTTTTAAAATTCTCTCTTCTGATTAGAAACGTCACCTCATTCCGGAGCCTTTGGAAAACCTAGCACAAGCCAAAGAAAACCTTCTCCACCCCCACCAAGAGACACAGCAGTTGGCTTGGCGGGTGCCTTCCCGCGTCCTCTTTTATACGGCTCTGTAGTCAGGGCAGGTATTAATATCACCATCTCACACATGAGGAGACAGCAGGTCAGCAAGGTTAAGTGCCTTGCCTGGGGTCTCATGGCTGGTTAAGTGGCAGAACTGAGCCCAAGCCTGAGTTCTAGTCTGCGTCCTTTCCCTGGCTCTCTAGGTGAGGTTTGACGTGGCCCCCAAACAGGCTCCTCACCTATTCACGGGACGTTGAGAGCCTCTTGTCCTTCCGAGTGCAGCACTTAAAAGCTTCCTATAATGGCTCAGCTCACAGAGTAAGTTACACCGGGCTGATCCTTTCTTTATGGGAGTTTACTCTTTAAAGTAGGCACGAGTGACACAGACGGGGTTATTCAAGACGCGCATTGTCGCACACACAACGGAGTAAGCTAAATGTTTACCCGACACATGGATGGGGGAATAAAAGCTTTCTGCAGAGAAATGAGTGAGAAGAAAGAGAGAGAGTCATGTGGAAGAGGTTTTAATCCAGGCAGCATGATTGCACTTCCCCAGGACAATTATACTCTGCCTACCTTGAATTTAAATAAAGTCCCTTCAATGGCTTGTTTGCAAAAGCGCTTTTTTTTTTTTTTTTNGATGGGTGGACAGAAAAGAACCCCCACACACACCCCCGTGGGTTGTTTCCACTCAGAGATTCCATCAGCACCTCCAGCCACATCTCGGAGTGGGCAGCACTCCCTTTGGGGAAGGATGGTGGACCCGTTCTGAAATCCCGTGGGACCCCCTTTAAGGGGAAAGGAATGGGGACCGTCTTCCACATCTTGGTGGTTTGGGGTTTTTTCCTTAACCCAGCTCTCCTCTGCCCGGGCCAACGCTCATCTCTAGCATCCCTGACCGTTCCCCACTGCACCCAGAAGCCCGCGGGGTGGGGGTGGGGGGGACAGTGGTGCGTCCCCGCTCACGAAGTCACTCATTTGTATCTCATTTTCGAGTTATTATCGAGCCGCCAGTCGTGAGAGTGTTTTGACAGCAGCTGTCAGCAAGGTGCAAGCAGCTGCCATCGCCTCCGATTGGCTGAAGACACCTATGGCAGCATGCCGAATAACATCCCAGCCTGTCTCGCCCCCTCCCCAGCCAGGGATCAGGGGGACCAGGGCGCCAAGGGGAGAAAAAGCAAACAGAAGAGCAGAGAAGGGAGACCACCCCGGCCACTCGAGGCCCCCAGGCAGCCAGCCCGGCTCTCAGCCCAGCAACATCCAGAATCCATAGCATGTTTTCTGACTCCCGCTAGAGATGACGGCCGTAAAAGACTCAGATTGTGTCTCGCGTTTTGTGTAATTTATTTTATTGGAGGTTTTTGGGCAGCGAGGGTGGGGAGGATGAGAGAGGATCCATCCAAACAACCATTTAGGCTTGTCAGAGTTCATTTATTGAATTAGCAAGGTTACCACTCCCGAGCTCCCAGCTGCCAGCCCGCAAAGCTGGGCTGGATGGAGCCTCCAGCCTGGAGCCGGGGAGGGTGGTACCGAGCAGAGAACCAGGCGCTTCAATCAATTAAGGTGGCTTTTTTTTTTCCCTTCCCCCCTCTGCTCAACTGAAGTGCAGAGGAATGTGTGTGTGTTTTCCCTTCTTCCCTGAAGAGTCTGCTTCTCTCTGTAATATCAGTCGTTCCACATGTTTCTTTCTAAGCGCCGTGCATCCAAGCAGGGAATAAATAATGCTTTGTGTTCACTGCCTTTTACCTAAGCAGTTTAAAATTCATTCTTTTCTCTTCTTCTTTTTCGTTAAGTACTGGGGTGCAGGGGGAGAGAAAAATGTGAGCGACACCAGAGAGCAGCTGTTTCGTGATCAGGAAGCGAGCTCACTTCTGCCTTAAATCGAGGGCCCGTGGGGTAGTCGCAGGGACGCAGCGACTGCAGGAGAATGTAATCTTTATGTACCAGGCAAGGAAGCCTGTGTGTCATTCTTGTTTCCTCCCCCCAAAAAATTCCCACATCGACTCAGACTTCCACGATAGGGGTCTCTTACTTTGGGTTTCTGCCGCCACAGTCAGACTTGGGGCTGAGATGGTTTGGGCGTTACAGCCGGGTACCCACCTCCTCCCTGCCGAGTTCCCTCACCTGTTGGTACCCAGAGAACTGAAAAGGGCTACATCCTCAGGATGCCTCTGTTTATCTCCAGCCCAAGTGGTCACCGGGGCTTTGCTGGTGGCTTAGCGGTAACGAACCCACCTGCCAATGCAGGAGATATGGATTCGATCCCTGGGTCGGGAAGATCCCCTGGAGAAGGAAATGGCAACCNTCATCTGTAGAGCTGCCACTTAATCATTGCCACTGATGTCCCCGCCTTCCTTGTGACAACCAAAAGCTGCACCCTTCTGGGCGAGGGGTGCCTCGTTCCGTAAGAATCCCTGCCTTGGGGGCTTCCCCGATAGCTCGGTGGTAAAGAATCCGCCTGCCAACGCAGGAGACAAGGGTTTGATCCCTGGTCCGGGAAGATCCCACATGCCTCGGAGCAGTTAAGCCTGTGTGCTACAACTACTGAGCCGATGCTCTAGAGCCCAAGAGCCGCAACTCCTGAGGCCCGCATGCTCTAGAGCCCGTGTTCCACAACCAGAGAAGTCACCACAGTGAGAGGCCTCTGAACCACAACTGGACAGTCTGCCCCGTTCACTGGGACTAGGAAAGCCTGAGCGGAGCGAGGAAGACCCTGAGCAGCCAAAAGTAAAATGAAAAAAAAACCTGCTTTAGTTTTGTTTTCAGTCATGACTGTGTGCCCAGTGCCAACCTAAGTCTTACACATCCTTTTTTTGTTAATAAATGTTTCATTTTCTTGGCTGCACCACATTGCATGTGGGATCTTAGTTCCCCTGACTAGGGATCATGACCGAGACCGCTGCATTGGAAGCAAGGACTCTTAACCACTGGAAAAAAACTAGAGAGGTGATAGCCCTTACCTGCAGCCAAGAAGCAGGGAAGACGGGGTTAAAACCCAGGCCTGTCAGAGGCCAAAGTCTCAATCACTCGCTCACCAATCCTCTCGGAGCCTCAGTCTCCTCACCTGTTAAATGGGTGGAAGTGATAACCATCCTCCCATCTCAGATGTTTTCCTTAGAATCTTAAGAGAGAATGCATGCAAAGCACCTTTGGAAAAGTACAGGGTACAGATATAAGGAAGCTTTAGTGATTGTTGTACCTACCAAGAATCTAAAGCCCTCTGAACAGTGAAAAGTGTTTTTCATGAACCTGTGTCATCAGCTGAATCACTGGCCCCTGGAATGTGAGCTTGGAAGATCACCTTTAAATCCAGACAAAGTTGGGGCTGAAACGTGCAAAGTGGCCACAAGCCTGTCTCAGATACCCTTTGGGTGATCGGATGCTGGCTTCTTCAGGACTGTTATGTGCTGTGTCATTAAACAGAGTGGTTATATAGTGATATTTCAAGGGGGATGTTTTTTAAAGCATTGAGCTTATACAAAAACATCATGGGTGTAGTGGTTAAGTCCCCCAACCCAGAATCTCAATAGAGCAATGTTCTGTGCCGACTCTTTGTCCCCAGCTTGGATGGGTGATGGAGGGGGGGGCGGTGGGCAGTAAGTCGGGCAACCAACGGCAGGGTGGGCTGCTCATCCAGATCACCTTGGGGGCTTTTAAAAGTAGGGAAGACAGAGCCTCATCCCAGGCCAATTAAAATGGAACCTCTGGGTACTGGCTTTTTTTTTTTTTTTAAACAACTTAAGTAAGAATGTATTTCTTCAAAAACAGAGTTGTTTTTATCATTGCAGTGCAGTTCACAAAAATCATGAAATTATCTTTGATGCAGTCATCTAATCTACAGACCTTATTCACATTTTGTCAGTTGTCCTAATAGAGTCCTTTATTTGGGGACAGGGCGGAGGGGCCACGTCTGATTCAAAATTCAATCCAGGGTCACATGTTGTATCTAGTTTACTCATCTCTTTAGTGTTTGTTGCTCAGTCATGTCTTGACTCTTTGTGACCCCATGGACTGTAGCCCATCAGACTTCTTCTCTGTCAATGGAATTCTCCAGGCAAGAATACAGGAGTGGGTTGCCATTCCCTTCTCCAGGGGATCTTCCCAACCCAGGGATCAAACCTGAGTCCCCCACATTGCAGGCAAAGTCTGTTACCATCTGAGTCAGCAGGGAAGCCCAATTTCCTTTAATTTTGGAGACCTTACCTGGCGTTCCTTTGCCTTCCGTGACCGTGACAGTTTGGGAGTAGCCAGTTGTCTTGTAGATGTTCCCTGTTGTATCTGCAGGCTGCTTCCTCGGGATTAGATTGGATCGAGGCTCTTTGGTGGCGATAACCTCAGAAGTGGCATCCTCTGAGGTGCCCAGTGTCAGGAGGCACCTCCGCTTTGTCCCACTGCTGATGATGTTATCTTTCTTTTTAATTAATTAATTGGCTGCACAGAGTCTTAGTTGTGGCTCAAGGGCTCAGTGGTTGCAGCCCACAGGCGTCTGTCTAGTTGCATTGGAAGGGCTTAGTTGCCTGGTGGCATGTGGAATCTTAGTTCCCAGACCCTTGTCCCTCTGCATTAGAAGGCAGGTTCTTAACCACTGGACACCAGGTGATGTTATCTTTGATCACTTGGTTAAAGTAGTTTCCACCCAATTTTCTACTGTTAACCTATTATTGTTCTCTTTGCAATTATCAATATTAATAGTAAATATCTCATCTCGGGAGGTGCTTTGGGGCTCTGCAAATATCCTGTGTCTGGGCTCACCATACTGCAGTTAGCATCCACTGATGGTGCCTGAATTATTCATTGCTGTGCTGGCTAACAAATGGTGATTTTTTAATTCATTCATTGCCCACGTTTATTGGTTGGTAGTCTCCTGGGAAGAGCCTCTCTGCCCTCTCCCCCACCCCTGCCCTGCCCATATTTATTTTTAAAATTTTTATCAGTGTAGGCTCAAGGATTATTCAGTGAGTCATAACCCATGATCATCATTATTTATTGTGTTATTGAGATTGCCCCCAGTTTGGCCAGTGGGAACCCCTCCGGGCTGGGGTGTATCCTTTTGACATGTCTCTCTCTTTGTTTTTTTCCCTCTTTGAGTACTTCCTTATCTTCTGGCGTAACAAGATATTGCAGATTCATCTTGTACTTTTTCAGCTCCAGCCCTGGAACCAGCCATGTCTCCAAGGAGCCCTAGTTCTTTTCAGTGGGTGTTGGTATTTAGATACCCAGATCTGGGTGCTGGGTGTGCTCAGGGGTCTCACGGCCTCTGGACCAGGATTTTAGCTCTTTTGGGGCAGGATAATTTTCTGTGATAGAGGCTGTCCTACATGTTGTGGGACATTTAACAGCATCCCTGACCTTCAGTGCTAGATGTTGGAATTTTAGTGTCTGGAAGCAGTGGGAGAGACAGGGTGTCTACAGGGACTCCTGTGGGAGCTGTGTTCACGTGGTAATGAAGCACGTGTCTTACTTAGAGAGCGAGTGGCCTGGGGACAGTTGAAAGTCCTGAGGGTTAAGGTACCCCCAAGTCACTCCTCGGAGCTGTCCGTGGTCTTGGTTCTGCTCCCCTCCCCAAAACTCTCCGAGCCTCCTCATCTCCCGCTGCCTAGAGCTCTCATTTTAAATGCACCCCAACCACAGTGCCTGCTCGCATCCCTTGTGGTACCAAACAGGCTCGCATCCCTTGTGGTACCAAAAAGTACCAACTCTTTTTTAGTATGACCTTATTTGAAATAAAATGTGCCGGTCCTGGTCCTTTACTTCTGAGGCAGAAGTGTAATACTGGAACACAGAATGATGACTAATTGGGATAAGGCGTTACAGTCTGCAGAGCCCTTCTGTGGACCCCTGTGGAGGGGACCCGGCCATCCAGGCCAGTTCACACATGGGCCAGTGCCATGTTCACGGTCCCGGAGCCCCACAGGCCAGGTTGCCAATGTTTCAGCAACTCTTAAAACGTGAAAACCAGGCAGCCTGTTAGTCTGTCCATTCCAAGAAGAGTGAGGTTTTTTTCTTACTCTTTTTTTTTTTAATATTTATTTATTTGGCTGCAGTGGGTCTCAAGTTACAGCATGGAGGACGAAGTTCCCTGACCAGGGATTGAGCCCAGACCCCCTGCCTTGGGAACCTGGAGTGCTAGCTACTGGACCACCAGGGAAGTCCGGAGGTTTTCCTTCTTTTCACCACAAGCCAGGAGATCTGCCCCAGCACTGCATCTCCCCCTATATTACCAGCATTCGGTGTCTGGCACCCCAACTTCAGAGCTTCCTCCCTAGACAGCTCCAGGCTGGACTTCCCAGGACCCCTGCCCGCTGATGGGGCCTGGCGGTTTCACGGCGGGAGTTGCAGTTATGAGAGGCTTAGCAGCTGGGGTGCTGGTCGCCGGGTGCGTGGACAGAATGTGCAGTCCTGGACACACCCCCCAGTGGAGGGTGTCTGCATCACCCATGTGGGCAGGGTTGGCTTCCGTCCAGGCAGATTGGTCACCTAAAAGAGCCATTTACCAACCCCAGTTATTTCCAGAGTCAGTGGTGTAAGGAACAACAGTGGTTTGTAGAATGAAGGGTTTTCTCCAGCTCCTGGAAGCAAGCTCCACTCAAGTCAGGGAGACAGGCGGTCACGGGGCCATGAACGTGGCTCCATTTCTCATCCACACCCTCTGTCCACACTGCCACCTGGCATCCTGACCATCCTGTCCTCTCCCGTTCCCAGCTCTGTCCTCCTCCATCCTTGGGCCCCCGAAGAAGGGAAGAAGCCACTCAAAAGCTTTGACAGGCAGTGTCTTCAAAGAAAACTTCCCAGGTGGCACAGTGGTAAGGAATCCACCTGCCAATGCAAGAGACATGGGTTCGATCCCTGAGTCAGGAAGATCCCCTGTAGTGGGAAATGGCAACCCACTCCAGTATTCTTGCCTGGGAAATCCCTTGAACAGAGGAGCCTGGTGGGCTGCAGTCCATGGGGTCACAGAGTGGGATATGCATACACAGCTTTAAAGAAAGACCCTTGAGGCTCTGGATGTAAAAGGAACGTAGCTGACAGCCAGAGAAAGACACAGTTGGGAGTGGATGTCCCTGTGGCTTTTCTAATTCACTTGTTTCTCTGCCGCAAAGGTAGATAGGGAAGGCATGCCCTCCTGGGTCTTGGGAAGAAATGTTCTCAGCCTCCCATCTCTCCAGTCGGGAACCTTCTCTAGCTGCGAGTGCTTCGATTGTTTTTTGGAGGTGGGGACATCAGGCCACACGACACTCGTCCTCCTTCCTCCGTTCCCATGACAAATCGTTAAATTATTCCACGGGAGCCCACTCTCAGGCTAAGTGACCGCAACAGCCGTATCATGGCAACTGTACCTGCCTCCAGTTCTATCACTTTCTTCTGCAGCCGCAGCTGCCGAGAAACTTGGTTGAGAAAAGTCATTTTCAGGGCCGGGTGGGGAATCCAAGACAATAAGTGTTCCAAAGCTCCCTCCAGTGTCCACACACCCTTTAGAGCAATGCCCCAGTTAGGGCAAAGCTTGCCCGTGTAATGAAGCAGATTGGGAGGATGGGTATTTGGGAGGTGGTGTAGGTGGTATTTGTAGGTGGTATTTCGGTTGGCAGGCCAATAGCTAAAGGGCATTACAGACTAAGTGAAAAAAACTTTTTAAAATTTTTATTTATTGATTATTATTATTTGAGGGGGGGTGCTATGCTGGGTCTTCATCGCTGCATGCAGGCTTTCTCTAGTTGCAGCAAGCTACTCTCTGGGCTTCCCAGGTGGCGCTAGTGGTAAAGAACTCGCCTGTCAATGCAGGAGACAGAAGAGACACGGGTTCGATCCCTGGGTCGGGAAGATCCCCCTGGNGGAGCCAGTTACAAATTTTATTTATTTATGTATTATTTGGCTGTGCTGAGTCTTCACTGCTGCACAGGCTTTTCTCTGGCTGTGGAAAGTGGGGGCTGTTCTCTAGTTGTGGCGCTCGGGCTTCTCATTGCAGTGGGTTCTCTTGTTGCAAAGCGTGGGCTCTAGGACACAGGCTCCATAGTTGCGGCGCACAGGCTCAACTGTGCCACAGCATGTGGATTCAACCTGTGTCTCCTGCACTGGAAGGCACATTCTCTACCACTGAGCCGCCAGGGAAGCCCACATTTTATTTTTATTAAAAATTTCTTTTTTACAAGATACAAAGAAAAATAGTTGATGACTTGTAGACTTGTCATGGTAGTCGTAACAGTAGTCCTACTTGTCCTAAAGAAAACTGCTATCCTGAGGAAACAGGCCTGTTAAGAACTCTCCAGCATGTGTGCAATAATGATTTTTGCCCCCAATCCACGGTAATACTTTAGGAAAGATACAGATATTCTGTGACTCATTTCTTAATGGATTATTTGGATTTTTCCATTTTCTATCTAGGATGCTAGCAGACGACCACATAGAAGGAGAACCATAGTAGCTAGAAGATTTGAATCCGGATTAGACATTAGACAGATATGAGACATGTACCTGCATTAGACAACCCTCCTCTCTGAGAAATCTTCTCTATAGCTGCCTTCACATCCTGGGAATTCATGTGAGTCTTGAGATTAAATTGGGTAGCAGGATTGTCTCTGAAGATTCAGAACAAGAAGTAAAAATTAGCGGGAAAATTATTACCCTTGGAGCAAAGCAGAAATCAGAGTTGTTTTATATACAAATAGAATGGAAGCTGCTTCAAAACCTTAAGCTGATGTCATACAATGCCCCAAAGAACTGCGGTGAGACGGGAGGACTGGGTCCTCTGCAGGGTGTGTAGAAAAAACTGGTTCGTTTCAGGGCTCACGAGGTGTGGGTTCTGGTTTTGACTGTGATGTCTCCTAGCTTTGTGACCTTGGGAAGTCATGTGACTTCTCTGGGCCTCAGTTTCCCCATAGAGATAAAGATCATCACGTTCATGGTGCTAGAGAGCAGGACTGTTGTCAAGTGGGATTTTGCAAACGTCAGGATGTCCCCAGGCTGCCCCAGACCCTCCTCTCCAGGACGAGAGTCTCAATTGATAGCCCCTCCCCCAGGCTCCCCAGCACTGGAACTGAATCTTAGCAGTCATGGCAAGGAGAACACATGGTTTTGTCTTTTTCATCCTGCGACTCCTGTGACTGGGTGAGAATATTCAAATCTTACCTGGAAGGTCAACATCTATTTTACTAAAGCCTGAAAAAGGTTAGCTGGAGAGGAGTTAGAGTGAATTCAGTGGAGAAACAGAATGAGAGCCCTTCTCTAGAAAGGAGTCTTTTTCCTTGGGTAACAGGCTTGGGAGCAGCTGAGCAGAGAGTGTGGGATCTTTCACGATCACAGAGATAGTGTGCCGGCAGGGACAAGGGCTCTGTGGGATGGATGTGTGTGGTCACACCCAGGATGAAGTGGGGATGCGTGGTGAAATCACATCTCCCGAAGCACTGGCAGTCAGTCACTGGCAGGGCCTCATGCAGGTGCGACCTTTAAGGTCAAATGGGGCCCTGAACTCCAAAAGAGCCTGCGCTTGCTTCAGTGCTCTTCCATACCTGCTCCATCAAACCACCCACATCCCCTTGTGCAGTCCTTCTGACTCATCATCCCCACAGTATGCATTCTTGATACCCTCTGATAATGTCCTCATCAAATACCAGGTCCTGTCAGATCAACCTCTCAATATCTCTTGTGGCTCTTGCATCCCTCCCCCCGCCCCCCCAAGTGTGGACTTTGATCTTTTCCCTGAACTATTGCTACAGCCTCCTCCTTGGTCTTCCTGGGCCACAGTGGGCTGTCCAGAGGATGTCTTACCCCACAGGTGCTAAGAGCCTGTCAGAGGAGGATTAACCTACATGCTAACAATACCTCTCCATATTTGTAATTTTGAGTTCTTTTTCCAAAAAGAATCCCCAAACTATATAAGCTTCAGAGTCCCCAAAGCCTGGATCTACCCTTGGTAACCATAGAATATGAACTTTTCAGGGACTGGAAAAAATAAAAAATAAAAATAACAACAAAGTATTATTAGCTACAAAACAGAAAATTACAAAATTGATATTGACAATAATAACTATGTATTTGTCTACCAAACATAATGTCCTAGACACCCCATTATCTATACAAATTTTAACTCAAAGAACTCTAACATTTGAAAATGATTGGGGGACTAGATTTTTCTCATTTTGAAAGATTTCCTGAGAGTGTCTGACAATTGTGAAGAAATCATAGCTGACCATAAATTGTGTTGCTCATAACAAATAATTTCAAAAGCAAAAATACAGATTTTTCTTAAGTTTTTACAGAAAAAAGATTAAATGTGGAAGCTAGTCACCTAGTCATATCTATACTGATCCTCCAGAGCCTGTTCACAAGGCTGTCTGAATGTTGGTAATTTTGTAGAGTGAGTGATCACCCATTTCCCATACTATGTCTACTGTCAAGCCTTGTTACCTGCAGTAGTTATGTTTTATAAAGTTGCAAACATCACATTAACAGGTCTCTGAGACATTGTTCCTAGGGAAAACAGGGGGTTGGATTCCTGTGGGCCTCTGGTCATATTTTCATCAATAGGTCAGCATATTAACTTGTTTTATGTATGTTTCTGTTTCAAGGTACCCAATTTAATATATGTTTCTTACAATAATTAATTATATGCATATTTTCTATATCATGAAACACTAGCTGAAAGGGTTTAACATTTTCCTGACCCTGGGTCATGCTGCGTAGATTTGTTTTGGCTCTCAGCTTCATAGTAGCTATTCACCGTACTTAAAAAAAAAGTAGTCATCATATCATGAATTCGTAAGTTCAGCCATTTTCCCATTAGTTATTTTAGCAGTTTTTGGAGCAGATTCACATACAGATAAATGAATTTCCTTTTTCTTTTTTTTGCTGAATATATTGGATCATCAATTCATTAACATTGAACTCATGACCAGCAGCATTGGTTGCCTGAAGGAAGTTTATCTAACACTTGCGGTTTCTCCTTAAGCACGTTACAGCCTTCTTGTGCTTGGAACACTGGATAGCACTTCAGTGCTACACTTGGGGCCAATTAAAATTGTGAAATCATCAATGAATAGCTGGAAATGTGGTGCTAAATAGACTGTGAAAAGGACAATTGTTTACAGCGTGAGTTGAAACAAGGCAGAGCGCTGCCTCGTTTGACCTCAGCTGGGGATGTTATGCGTCTCCTTCCTCCTCAGTGCACATCCACAGACAACTGTCAAAGTACCAGGAGTATTGATTTTGGAGATACAGGTACGTTTTAGCAAGTAGGTGAATTTGCAATTATGGAACACACAAATCATGAAGGTTGGCTATAATCTATTTGAGAACAAGCGCTGCGTTCCAGTATTTCCTCTCCTGGTGCTTAGCATACAGGGGGTAATAGAGAATTATGGAAAGGAAGGAAGGAGGGAGGAATCTCAAATGTCCTCCCTTAGACCATCCTGGGTAGAAGTGAACACCCCCCTCTGAGCCCCACACTCATCACTCTCTCCCCCTATTACATCATGGAGGTAGACGAATTTATCTTCAGAAGCAGACAGATGAGCTATTCATATACCCAATGAATAGATGCTTTTCATTTTATTTAATGTTGTTTCTGTTAAAAATATCACCTCCCTCACTAGCTGGTGAAGTCCCAAAGAACAGAATCTCTATCACGGTTATTTATTTATTTTTAATGAATTGAAAGGTTGGACCAGAGGACTGCTGAAACTCTTTCCAATTGCTAAAATTACCATTAGGAGCAAAACCACAGAGCTCATCCACCAAGGGACTAACAGGCAAATGTAATCAAACCACTTAGATGAATTTTACATTAGTATCCCCTGCAAATGGCATAGTGTTTAGAGTGTGGTAAACACTCAATAAATCTTTGTTAAGATGTAATGTAATTAAATTATAGGAATGAATGATAAGTCTCTAACCTGCAGACTGACCACTCTCAGTATCAGAGCGCATGGGTGTATATGTACTTTTTGGGGACTGGTGGTCCTATACCTTTACCTGGTTCCTTTTTCAGAGCTGAAGATTATTTAAAAAGTTCAAAGAGATATGCCACTATATTTTTATGTAAGCAATCTTTTAATTTGTAATTTTGTTAGAAGATCTCATCAAGGGAAAACACATTTGTTTCCCTCAGTGGGTCTTAAGGATTTTCTTTGAAAGTAAGAGAAGAAAATAAACAAAGAGGTTTATAGCTCAAGAAGAAAACATCAAATTGTTTTATGTTGGAAAGAGGCGTTAAGACTAATAAAGAGAAATGACAGGGAGCCAGCATTTGACTGTTCATAGAAAGGACGAATTCATGCAATAGGAAAGGACTATCTTGCAAGAGCGTGAGAAGAATGAATGCCTGTTGGAGGTGGGCACAAGTGATTTCAAGGGAGGCTGAATCCTGGGGGCAGAGCGCTGGATGGTGCATCAGTGTCCCCAGACTTCCCTGATGACAAGCCTCACTTGAGGCACCCTGTTAAACTCCACAGGTTTAACCAGGTCTCCCTGAGGCAGAAACTCAGTATGTCTGGGCTGGGGATTTTTTTAAACAAGCTGATCCAGGTGAATCTCATCCTTGGGAAAGTTTGGGGAGCCCTGGATTTTAGAGGACTTCTGAGGTCCTTTCAATCCTAAGGTTCCCATTTGATTAAAGTCCCAAAGTCTATTGATGGACCCCAGTCACATGGAGTGACTGGAGTCACATGGAGTCACATGGAGCCTCTCAAATGAATTTTGATGCCAGTAGAAACACATTAACTAGTCATATTCCCTTTAGAAAGAACCTTTCAAAACTGTTTCCTCCAAGGCATCATCACTTTAAGGTTACAATAGAACAACTTGATTATCCTTCAGTTCAGTTGTTCAGTCATGTCTGACTCCTTGCAACCCCATGGACTACAGAATGCCAGGCTTCCTGGTCTGTCACCAACTCCCAGAGCTTGCTCAAACTCATGTCCATTGAGTCAGTGATGCCATCCAGCCATCTCATCCTCTGTCTTCCTCTTCTCTTCCTCCCTTCAATCTTTCCCAGCATCAGGATCTTTTCTAATGAGTCAGTTCTTCACATCAGGTGGCCAAAGTATTGGAGCTTCAGCATCAGTCCTGCCAATGAATATTCAGGACTGATTTCCTTTAGGATGGACTGGTTTGATTTCCTTGCAGTCCAAGGGACTCTCAAGAGTCTTCTTCAACACCACAGTTCAAAAGCATCAATTCTTCAGTGCTCAGCTTTATTTATGGTCCATCTCTCACATCCATACACGACTACTGGAAAAACCATAGCTTTGACTAGACAAAGTAACATCTCTGCTTTTTATTATGCTGTCTAGGTTAGTCATAGTTTTTCTTCCAAGGAGCAAGCATCTTTGAATTTCATAGTTGCAGTCACCATCTGCAGTGATTTTGGAGCCCCCCCCCAAAATAAAGTCTCTTACTGTTTCCATTGTTTCCCCATCTATTTGCCATGAAGTGATGGGACTGGATGCAATGATCTTCTTTCTCTGAATGCTGAGTTTTAAGCCAGCTTTTTCACTCTCCTCTTTCACTTTCATCAAGAGGCTCTTTAGTTCCTCTTTGCTTTCTGTGATAAGGGTGGTGAATGTTGAGTTTTAAGCCAGCT